ATTTTTCTGATCGACTTATTTCGCTGCTTTTCCTTTACTTGAGTCTCATTTCTCCTCTTTTCCTTTTCTTAAGCGTCACCCCCACTTCGGTTGATCTCAGCGGAGGAGAAGGGCCTTTACGATCTGGGTCATAAAGGCCCATCACCCGATACAATGGGCTTTCGTTTACCCTTTGTTACGCACTAATAGAGGTCGGGGGCACGACTTGCTCTCAGAGCAGAGTTTGCCCAGCCCTGGACTATATAATGATATCAGGCATGCAAGACCTCAATTTCATAACTAAGGCATTTTTTACAAATGACTGTAAACTTCCGTAGAATTGCCCATTGTCAACATTACAAATTTATCGTTCAATCGGAAAAATATGTAATTCATTAATTCACAGATTTTTCAAAAATAGCCCAATACGATTCTACCATAAGGTAAACAACCTTCCATCAAATGTGCTTTTTTTTTAATTTTCGTGAATTATTCCATAAGAGAAAAATTATCTTACCGTCCCGAATATATGTTGGCCTTTCAATACAATCATTATATTGACAAGAAACGCGAGAACAACATAAATCCATTGACTAGAGAGTAACGTGATCAAACTAGAATCTTTCAGTGCTTTCGTCTCCTTTGACGTAGTTTCTGCGTATGCACTAAATGAAGGTTGTTGATCTAGCGTAAAACTGTGTTCATGTGCATGGGCTTCGGAGTTTCCATTGGATGTGTATTCCAGGTTTCTTCTTCGAGGAACATGAAGTTTATTCAGCAGGTTCGTATTCGAAAGACTTCCTTGTGATGTAGGAGGAAATTCATCCTGAAATTCGGAGAGAATCTTCCAAGAGTCGATGACAGACTCATTCGGAATGGTTCCATTGATTGTTGAGGATAGCTTTAATATTGGAGCATCTTCTGAAGGATAATCGAATGAAAAATTTGATTCCGTTATCCACCCAAAAGTATGGAATGATTGAATAAAAATTGTTATCGCTAAGATTGCTTTTTAGAAAATATCTTAAGGTCCGGGTGAACCAGCTATCGAATGTCATCTTTTGTTGAAATTCTATTATTTTAGCCTAAAATACATTGAAATTTAGGATCAAATTTGTGTTGTAAGAAGCACTTAAATGGACATTAAAAAATAATTTTAAAAAAGAAGAAAAATCATTGAAGGGCGCTAAAGAGCGGTATTCTTTAAAGGGATCTACCAAGTTTACTAAAAAAATCGTAAAAAATACGTAGCTTGCCATGACATGGCACATTGCATTTTTGGCCGAAATTATATGTCAGATATGATATACATATATGATAGCCTATGTATTTTTTATTCTTTTTTAGTAAACTTGGTAGATCCCTTTTTAACAATATCGCTCCTTAGCGTCCTTCAATAATTTTTCTTCTTTTTTAAAATTATTTTTTAATCTCCATTCAACTACTTCCCGCAACATATATTTGATCCCAAATTTCTATGTATTTTAGGTTAAAAAGATCAAATCCTATCTATAAAAGGTGATACACCAAAATTAAGTTGGGCGAGAGTAAGATTGGCTAACTTCATGCGTAAGACTTTTCACTCGTAACCCTATTTCTCATTGGTCAATTGGCTACGTCATCATCAACACCACGGAATCAAACGGCGCGCGGAGCGCGCGTTCGGTCTCGTTTAAAGAAAAGATGATTATTCGACAGATGCTCCACCGGGTCTTAAAGGGTAAGCAAAATGTTTATTGGTATTATAGTTTGGGTTACTTATGCTATGATAGCGGTAAACATTAAGCTTTGACATTCTTTCTATGCCTTTTTTCATCGATTGAGAGAATACTTTACCTAGAGGCGGCTTGGTACTTGTTTGTCCAGTAATTCTTTGCAACCGTGCAGCGGAATTTTCCAGAATTCTGTTTCTCCTCAACTTACGTCTTGTGGCTGCGTCCGCCATGACTGAAATTCGTTGTCAGTCCAAAGATTATAGCAGAGATAATAGGGGAGATCAGCAGCGCTTATGGCAAAGGTTCAACATGAATATGTCCTTGCGGCGACTGCGGAACTAAAACAGAGGCCGTACCCGTGAATAAGGCAGGGCACGAGGCCGAGAGTGTCGATAACGGCATCCGAGAGTGTGTGACAAACCCGGTGACTGGTAGTTGGCACCACATAATTGAAAATTCATTAGTTTTTTATTTAGATCAATAGTAGGGCCTTTGCACATCATTGTAATACCATTAAAAAATTTTGTAGACCCTTCAATATTTTTTAATTAATTAAACAAAATAATGATTAGAAGTTAGCACCCCACCCCACTAATTTTTATTTGTAGACCGAAATAATATTAACCAATGGAAAGCAAATCGTTTGTAGATAGTAAATAAATTGGTATCATCCTTCTACACCTGATTGTTCATTAGATATTAATCAAATTAAAAACTGGTCTGTAGTATTTACATCGGCGCATGCGCAGACACGGATCCTCGCACAGTTTGGCACCATGCACTTGGAAGCAATATCGTTCTTAATTAACTTTTCAAACTTTTTTCCTGGTAAATATTTAGGTAGTAAATTGGTGAAATTTAGGAGAACATGATTAGAATTTGGGACTAATTAGTTTTCGTTTAATTTTTTTTTCTTTTTTGTCAATAATAATGAGCAGAAGTTATTCTTAAAAAAATCAAAAATAATTGGAGTCACAATCACTTTAAAATGCA